ATTTGGGGTTCTGGGGTGGGGAGGTGACAGTTCTGTAAAATGATTTACACAGCCTTGTAAAAAGAAAATTCCCTTGGGTGATGACTGAACGGCAAGTGCAACAATGGACAAAGGGGACTTCCAAGGCTCAGCCCTGCCTGCCCCACCCTGTGGGAATGCCCCAGAACCTTCTAGCCCTGTGGCCAAATGGACGCAGATGAAGGTGGCAGCTTCAGGAAGATGAGGCAAAAATCCAAGTCCTGGCTTCCTGGAAGGGAAGTCCAAGATGGGTTTGAAATTTGAGCAAACATTCCAGAGACATGGCTACCTTTAGAGGTCACCAAAATGTATAGGCTTCCAGGAGAGGGGTCCTTGTGCAATTCCTGGGTGATATTTCTGCCACATTCTTGAGATGGCAGGTCAGAGCTCAGACCAGTGGAGCTGGCTTTGTCACTTCTGAGGCAGATGCCAACATGTTTCCAGAATTGGCTTGGCCTTTGCACACTCAAATTCAAGTCTCAACTTAATGATCAAATGTATGTTTTTGTTTCTCTCACTCTTTTTTCAAAAAAAAAAAGATTTATCTTATCTTTTGGGTATGTGCACATGGGTGCCAGTACTCTTGGAAGCCAGAGGTGTCAGGTATCCCCAAGGCTGGAGTTACAGGCTGTAGTGAGCTCCTGGGCCTGAGTGCTAACTGAGCTTGGGTCCCTACAAGAGCAGTATGTGCTCTTAACTACTGAGCCATCTGTTCAACCCCCCATCTCTTTTTTTAAAATACCAGTTTGCTGAGATGGAATTTATTTTATTTATTATTTTATGTAGATGAGTATATTGCCTGCATGTATATAAGTGTACCCACCTGATGCAATGCCCACAGTGGTCAAAAGAGGGCATTTAACTTCCTGGGAGCTGGAGTTACAGGTGGTTGTTAGCTGCCATGTGGGTGTTGGGAATTGAACCCAGGTCCTTTGCAAGAACAGCTAGTGCTCTTAACTGCTGAGCCATCTCTCCAGCCCCCAAGATGTAATTTATATACAATCAAATTTACTAGTTTTTGGAATGGAGCATATATAGCTTAGCTGTAGAGCATTCGCCTAACATGTATAAAGCTCTGGGTTCCATCCGTAGTACAGGAAAAATTGATTAATTAATTAATTAAACAAGCAAACCAAATCTACTGACATTAAGTATATAATTAAATTACTTATGTGTGTATACATGTGTGGTGTATGTAGTATATGCACATATGGAGGCCAGAGGACAGCCTTGGGCATTACCCCTCAGGAGCCATTTACCTTGCTTTTTAAGATAGGACCTCTCTGAGGCTCCCTCATTTATCTAGGCTGGCTGGTCACGGAATCCCTAGGATCTGTCTTCATCTCCCCCATATTGGGATTCCAAGTGAGTACCACCAGGCCCAACTTTTTTTATATATATTTTGAGGATTGAACTCAGGTCCTCAGGCTTACAAGGCAAGTGCTTTTTATTATTTTTATGTGTATGCATGTATTGCCTGCATGTAGGTAAATGCACCCGGGTGGTACAGTGCCCGAGGAAGTCAGAAAAGGCTGTTGGATCCCCTGGAACTGGAGTTACAGACAGTTGTTAGCTGCCATGTGGGTGCTGGGATTCGAACCCCGGTCTTCTGCAAGAAAAGAAGTGTTCTTAACCACTGAGCCATCTCTCCAGCCCCTGAGATCCATCTATGTTTTAATATGGATTGATGGTTTATTCTTTTCTATTGCTGAGGCACATCAAGTTCACCTGTGTCTGGATTTGCAGAAAAGATATATTTGAGCCAAACAAAAAATCAAATAGGTTTCTGTTGCTTTTTTGAAATCATATGTTAATTAAACTTAATCATAAAAATGTAATGAAATTCATCACCTTTTTATATTTTACTTGAAATATAAGACTTCAACCCACCTTATCTTAAATGAAACTCTAAATGCAAACTTTTTGAAATATTAAGTAAACAAATCTGTATATAAAATTTCCAACTTTAGGGGAGCATGGTTCACCATGCCTGTAATCCTAGGAGGAGGTGGAGGCAGGGCGATTGGGGGTTGAAGGGCATCCTTGCCTACATAGAGAAAGGAGAGAGAGAGAGAGAGAGAGAGAGAGAGAGAGAGAGAGATAGAGAGACAGAGAGACAGAGAGAGAGAAACACAGACAGACAAAAAGGAAGGTGGGAATTCCAGATATAACAAAAAATGCAAGTTAATAATAACTTCTAAGTAAAGTTTGGTAATCTAAACATGAACTAGGATAAGCGGTTCCAGGGAGTTCAAAATTATGATTAAAATCAGTTAGTAAAAGGGTTGAAGCAAAACATCCCTCTTTCTCATAAGGCATTTGCTAGCATATAGTCAGGAATATTAGTACTTATTAACAGCACTAATATTCACAATAGTGGAAATATTTTAAATATTATTATAAATGTATACAGAGCATAGTGTGTACCTGGTACTGTTCTGAGCCCTAGAACCGTCATCAACTCATTAAAATTTCCCAATAATCCTACTAGATAAGCATTTTATCATTATCACTATTTTACAGAAGAAGAAACTGAAGCTCAGAGAAGAGTAAGCAGCCTGCCTTGATAATGGCGAAACCAGGATTTGGACTTGGGAATCTGCTCCAGAGCTTTGACTTTGACCAGTAGAGTCCTCTTAGCTCAGGCATTGCACTGGGGAATTGATAAAGGGGGCTGATAGTGTTTCCGAATAGATGACACCAGACCAAGGGAGATAAGTTGTTTAGATATGTGAAGACAAAGGGAGAAACTAAGTCAAACTGTGCCTGATGAAAGGTTTAAAAATCCTGTACTGTCCACAGCAGTGAGGCTGCTGGGTGGTCTGGATGCAAGATGACTGCTGCCCATCGGTTCCTCCTGGTCCAGGTGACCTCTGGGGGCCTTGCAGAACTAATGTCTTGGGAAAATCACAAGTATTTGCTCAGAGTCTTTTATGACTTAGCTTTCTGGATGTATGCCAACTGTCCACAAGTTGGCCATGCTATGATGGCTGCTGATAACTAACCTTTGATTGCATGTTCAATTCATTCAGTATTGTGAATTTGTCTTTCTTTATGGTGCTTTTTAATCTGACTATCAAAGGGTTCATGAACTGTGGAGCCAGGTTGCCTGGTATTGCATGTTGGCTTTGCCACTCTGAGCACGTTACTTAATTGTTCCATATCTATGGCATGGGGAAACTAACCTGATTCACAGAGTTATTTCGAATATTAAAAGGTTAATATATATAAAGGATATACAGCAACAACTGACAACTAGACATTTTGTTTTTATTATTATTATTGAAAATGATGGTAGGTGATGAAAATATTTGTTTCAACATTTGAGATATAATAGACTATAGAAATCTGTGCTAAAGAAATGAATTTTGTCCTATATTTTGCAGGCCTGTACCATGCTCCTGTGGTCCTGTGAATTGGACTTGGCTGATGTCATTAGTCTGAACATTTTCTAGTGGGTGTGTAGACATACAAGGAGTGTGGCACTCAGAACGTAGCCCCACTCTCCACCACATACCAGCTAAGGGAATTCTAGATAGCTTTAAGAACTGAAGTATTATCAGTAATTAGACACTGAGTTTTGAGAAAGAAGAATCTTTATGTTATTTAGCCAGAGTAAAAGAGAATCAAGTCTGAACTGAGATAATTGGAATTCTCTTTCTGTTCCTCATTTTTGTTCTGGAGATTTTAGAGATGAAGCAGTGTCTTGTCCTGTACCTGCTGTTCTTCGGTGCTTTACCCAGATCCTGATTATAACTAAGCATCTAGTTCATGCTCTGTGCTCTGTACAAAGCCATCCGCAGCATCCCAGTCAGTCCACACTGGTCACAATCACATGTAGAAACGGAAATTCTCACACCCTTTGACAATAATGCATGGGTTGTATTGTTCATTGGTTATCTGAGATTGTTAGCCTTAGAACTCTCTATAAAACAGTCATTCATTTAGTCAGTGACTAGGTATTTATTGAGAGCCTCTGCAGGTCTTGCTGATGGGGAACAGGAGGGGTTATTGGTTGTTTTGGACACATCGTGTCTATATAAATACTGGTATATTTAAACTTTAGTAGAAACCAAAGCCTTCTCAGACAATCCCCTCAATTATTCTCCTTAGGAGAAGGGACAGTGTAGGACATACCAAGATTTGCATTTTTTAATGGATATTGCTCACTATAACTAGCTCCCTGAAACTTGGTTGATATAATTAGTCTCAATGTTTTCCAGTGGGACAGAAAGAATGGCATGAAAATTATACTAAGATGTTAACACAGGTCCTCTTTCTTAGACAATTGAATAGAAAGTTTGTTGAGCACCGACTGTGACCTAGACACTATACCAGTGGCTGGGGACACAGAGTGACACCTAGTCTTCATAGAGGGGGCTGGCCTGCCAACAAATGACTTAAGGAGCTGCTAGGCCTGGAGTTAGCCAGACACAGGCAAGAAACCCTTGGTCCAGCCTGGTGATGGAAAGGAGGGAAATCAGGTGTGAGAGAGTGGGAGGTGGGTCTGCCAGTCATGGCGACTGTATCTCAGGCAGACTTTGGCCCTAGAGGGAGAGTGGAGAGGATCCTGTTGGAACCCTCTCGGAGTGGCTGATTTGCCTGCGACTTTTAGATTAAAGTGGAGGAGACTTCTGTTTCAGATGATTGTCTGTGCCCTTGAGACTGGGCCTCCCAGTTTGAGGAAGGGGCGGCTGTTATCTACCACTGTGAGTTCAGCCCTGGACCACCGTGTGAGAGAAGGGCTCTGGGGGATGTGGCGCATTCCAGAAGGATCCCTGGGCCGCAGCCTCTGCGCCACACCCTTGGCGGGTCCAGGTGTGCGCCCTCCTGGCGGAGGGGGGAGCCCGGCCGGGTGAGCGCATTTACAGCTCGGAGTGCGCTGAGTGTGTTTGTCTGCCTCGGAGGGCTGGGTCCTCCTTGTTCACAGGTGAGTCACGCCCCGAAACACCGGCTCTCTTCCTGTCAGGACTGAGTCAGGTAGAAGAGTCGATAAAACCACCTGACCAAGGAAAAAGGAAGGCACAGGGAGCGCTGAGAAGTTCCAGCCCAGCGCTCGGCAGCACCCTGGGGAGGCTCGGCCCGGCCATGCCCGCGCTCTGGCTGCGCAGCAGCCTCTGCATCTGGCTCCTCCTGCCTGCAGCCCGGGCCACCTCCGGGACGGAAGGTGAGTGCCTCCCATCACAGCCCCAGGCTGGGAACTTGCCTTTCTCTGCAGACTGTGATGGCTGAACTCTCTTCCCAGGATTCTCACTTTGCCTGGGACCTCTGCCCAGCGCCCTTCTCCCTGCTGGGCCTTCTCCAGAGATGGGTTTAAAAGTGACAGTAGTATTAGGCAAAGCTCCGCGATTTCAAAACCACGAAGCCGATAGGTTGTGCCAAACGAGGTTTTCCTTAGTCTAAAATTGTTCCTCTTAAATTTCTTACCTTTCTTTTTTCTTTTTACCCCAGGGGCCCCGTTTAATCAGTAATAAGCTGGCACATAAATTGTTCGCTCACTGTGTACTTACTAATGGAAGTTGGGTGAGAACTTTACCACCATACAGATTGAAAAGGAACTTCATTAATCCTTCTATCATTCGTGTTTCATTTTTGAGACAGGGCACAAAACCGTAAGAGTTTTAGTAATACTCATAACTTCTGCACAATGTTACCTCTTACAATAATTTCACTTCCCAGGCATGTATTGGACTCCGATGTCTATGCTATTAATCTTAGGACACCAGTGACTGTCATGTCTTGAGAAGTTAAGTTCATGTAAACAAAGCTTTCTGAGAACCTAGCAACGGTTGCCCATATGCATGTCTCAGCTAAGAGGACACATAAGGCTGGTTTTCCATGTCACTTAGCTCTAGCTGAGATGTTTTCCTGTATAATTATCTTGACTTTTCACATCCACGTTTATGTTGTTTCTTGCACCTGGTGGCCTTCCAACAATCACTTCCATTGGACCCCAAGGCCACAGTACATCCATTACAGTCCTTTTCTCTTTTTCTAACATACCTTTGGAAATCCACACCGCAACTCTTGACTATGTTTTAAAAACCATGTATAATTGCCACACATACAAAAAGAATAACTGTGAAATAAACAAGCATCTTACTTTTCTTGACTGTAGTAACCATTTCATTGTTTGTATCAAAACATCATGTTGTCCACCCTTTCACCAGAATTGCTTAGCTGTTCATATATCTTGTCCCCTATTTAAATCTAAATCTCATGTTAGGACCCCAAAGATGGATTTGAGAGAGGGGTCATTGAACATCTTTGCTCCTCTTCTCAATGCGATTACAATAAATAAATCTCCTTTTTCTGCTTTTAAAAAAAAAAAAAAAAAAAAGCCCATCATGTTGTATACCTTAGACATATAAAACATTTTTTTAATGTATGAAAGTGGTCATGTTGAGTAGGCTCCCTTACAGTTAGAATAAATTAGTTGAAACCTATTTGAAAACATCCTGATGGCAAAAATGGTCTGAATATTAGAATTAAAGTAATTGTTTATGAATCAAGCCCTGAGAGTCCCACAATTTAAAAGGCAAGACTTTGGCAGTGTGTTTGCACAAGGCCACACAAGCAGCTATTGGCAGTGACAGAGCTTTTGATCCAAGCTTCATAGGTTGGGGCTTTTTGATCACATTATAAGAGAAATTATATATATATATATGTGTGTGTGTATACATATATATGTATGTATGTTTTATAAGGTAAGTAATTATTGCAGCAATTTCCCTCTTGGCTATAATTAAGTGTATATGTGTGTGTTGTGTTCAATTACAAAAATAAACACGTAGTATACCATCAGTTGTTTAATAAACTCAGACTCTGAGAGCACATAGCTGGGACTCTACTTTCTCATGGTTGGACTTTGGTGTATGAGCTTGTTTTTTGTACTCTCCCCTTCCTTGGAGACAGACTGCTCAAGGTATACATTCCTTCTTCAAAGGCTTCATTTGGGGGCTCAGTGAGAATATGAAAGGTTTGGCATTATAGTAGAGTACTCCTAGTCTTCCATTGATGGGACACTGGGACAGGAGCTGGGCTGAAAGTGTGGTACCTGCTCTGATGCAGAGTGACAGTGACCAATCTGAGGGTCCTGTGGGCTGCACCTGTGGACTGTGAGACTCTGAAACAGTAATGTTTCTTCCTGGTTGTTCCTTGTGGGTGAAATTATGGTAAAGATATAATTACCAAGACTTTCAGGGTTGATCTCAGCTAAAACACAGGCTTTAGAGTCAGCCTGACCTGGCAAAAAAAAAAAAAAAAAAAAAAAATTGGCTTGTTCATTTGGTAATGCCTTGTTAGTAACTTCCCAGGCTCTCATACTTGTGTTTGTTGGACTGTTACATGTACTGTGCATGCTTGTAGACTCGGTGAAAGGTTAGTTACTGTAAACTGCCTTGCACAGCTGGGTCCATATTTCTTTAGAAAGTCTGGAGCCAGAAGCACAGGCGCAGTGATTTCAGATGTTCAGGGATCAGTAAGACAAAGACTCCCTGTTGGTATATGAGGCTTGGTGGGAGAGACTGTGTCCTATGTCCCTAAAGGTCTGGATCCAGGGGAGACATGGCTGCAGATGAGCAAGATGCAATTAGGAATGTGACTAGTTTCTGAGTTTCTGTAGGAAAGCTGCTCAAGGGCCCAGAGAGTGGAATGAAGTGAGGAGAGCCACGTGAAAGGCCATTGTAGGGACTGGAGAGATGACTCAGCATTTAAGAGCACTGGCTACTCTTACAGAGAACCTGGGTTCAGTTCCCAGCACCCAATGGCCACTAACAACTGTCCATAACGCCAGTTCCAGGAGATCCAATGCTCTCTTCTGACCTCCGTGGGCATTGCATGACACAGGTGCACTCACATATGTACAGGCAATACACTCATACACATAAAATATAAATAATAAATAAAATATATTTTTAAAAGCCACTTCAATAATCCAAGTGAGAGATGATGATGGTAAGACAGCTAAGAAGAAACAGACTACAGAAACTCAGAGTACAACCTAAAGAACCTGGTGATTCTCTAAGTGTGTATTAGATGTGTGAGTATCATTCAAGATAGAGCTAAGACTTCAGGCTTGTGTGATTGGTTAGACAATGGTGCCATTAAAGGAAATGAAGACTTAGAAAGAAAGGTTAGATTTGAGATGGAAGTTCAGTGGTGAGTGGAGAGGGGAGGGGGAGAGGCGGTTCCTGTGGGGATCTGTTGAATTTGAGATGCAATTGGAATTTTCTAGTAGTCCCAGAAAAGAGCTGAAATTGTGCTTTTGAAATTTAGAAGAGAAATTCGAGATATGAATTTGGGAACCCTTAGGTGGAAAGCAAAGCCCAAACCACAGATGAGATCACCAAGATGTGGAGGTGGAAGAAAGTTCAGTGCTTACAAAGGAGCTAGAAGAGCAGTGGAAGAGAATGGAGAGGGTGAGCCATGAGGATGGGGAGAATCAAGACAGATGAGCATTTTGTTGCTCAGAGGAAGAATTTCAGCAACACAAGATAGCTGGCATCTGATATACAACTATGTCTCTACACAAAATGAGGACTAAACTGACACTGTCCAATTCAGACCTCATGTGAGCTTTAATGTGCTTTTTTTAGACTGGTGAATTCAGAATACGAGATTACTACAGACTTTAGTTTCTCAGTGCTATGGATAGAAGAAAGGGGAGGGTTCACACTTATTTTCTGCATCTCTAAAATGAGACTAGTAAACTGTGATTATTACATGTAAATTACTTTATACTTTACCTGCTGAGTATATGTCCAATATCATTACTAGTGCAACTAACCTAATACTGGTTGTCGATATATTGCCTTCTGAGGTGTTTGTGGTTTCTTTGTTTGTTTTTTGGTTAAGATAGCTCAGGATGGCTGCTGTCTACCAAATGCTGGGATTATAGGCTTGTGCTACTGTGCCTGGCTGCCTTGTGAATTTTGAATAGTGAATTCTTTGTTTTTGTTTTTTGAGACAGGGTCTCCCTACATATCCCTGAGTGGCTTGGAACTCATTATGTAGACCAGGCTGGACTGGAACTCACAGAGATCTACCTGTGTCTGCCTCCCAAGTGCTAGGATTAAAGGTGTGTACCACTCTGCCCAGCTTAATAGTGAATTCTTTGAGGGAGCTTGAGATAGTCAACTTTCTTTTCTTTTAAAAAATTTACTATTATTATTATTATTATCATTATTAGTGTGTGTGTGTGTGTGTGTGAGATGTATGTGGGCATGCCAGGGTGCATGTGTGGAGGCCAGAGGGCTCCCAGTTCTCGCCTTCCAGTTTTTATGTGGGTTCTGGAGACCAAACTCAGGTTGCAAGGTTTGCGTTACAAGCGCCTTTACCCATTGAAGTACTTTCCTGGCCCGCGTTAGTCAACTTTCTGCTACTATAAGAAAGCACCTGAGAAAAATCAACTTATAAAAAGAAGAAATAGGGACAGGGGAGGTGACTCTGTGGGTAAAGTGCTTGCTATGTGAGCAGCAACCAAATGAAAGAGTCTGTAACCCCAGTGCTGGGGGCAGGCAGAGACAGGGCTGGCTAACTAGCTAGTATAGCTGAAATGGCAAGCTGCAGGCTCAGCTAGAGACCCTATCTCAAAAACTAAGGTGGAGAGTGATGGATGAAGGCACCAGAAGTCAACCTCTGGCCTCCACATGCACATGCATGGGCATGCATAACCACACCCACCACAAATACTGCTTCCCATATACACACAAAAGAGGGAAAGATTCATTTTAAGTCACAGTTTTGGAGGCCTCAGCTCTTGGTTGATTGGTTCCACTGCATCGGGCCTGTGGTAAGGTGGTGTGTCATGGTGGGAAGTCATGGTCAGCGAGCTACTCAGCTCACGGACACTGGGAAGCATGAAGGACAGTTAGCGGGGGAGATAGGGCGTAGAGGAGGAGGGGGGGGGTGGATGTAGTGCGAGGGGGGGAAGGGGGGGGGGAGAGAGAGAGAGAGAGAGAGAGAGAGAGAGAGAGAGAGAGAGAGAGAGAGAGAGAGAGAGAAGGCCAGGGTCCTCAAATTCCCAAGGGTCTGCCCCCAATGGCCTAAGACCTTCCTTGAAGCACCACCTCTTAAAGGCTCAGCCACCTCCCTCAAATCACCATGGGCTGGGGAACCTAGGACTTCCAGAGCAGGGCTTTTCTTTCCTCTCCTCTCATCAGCCCA